AATTTGGCTTTTCTAGGAGTGAAGATGAATCTTGTGTTTATGTCAAGGCTAGTGGGAGTATAGTTACCTTTTTGGTACTATATGTGGATGACATACTACTCATAGGAAATGACATCCCAACCCTGCAGGAAGTAAAGTCATGGCTTGGGAAGTGTTTCGCTATGAAGGACCTTGATGAAGCTGCCTATATCCTAGGGATAAGGATTTTGAGAAACAGGAGTAAAAGACTAAATGGACTTAGTCAAAGCACCTATGTGGAGAAGGTGTTGAAAAGATTCAACATGCATAACTCCAAGAAAGGTGAGTTACCCATTCAGAGTAACGCCAGATTGAGTAAGACACAAAGCCCTAGTATTGAGGCTGAGATAGCAGAAATGAGTCGACTACCTTATGCTTCAGCTGTAGGATCGATCATGTATGCTATGACATGTACTCGACCTGATGTAGCCTTTGATTTGAGCATGGTTAGCAGGTATCAGGGGAACCCTGACAAGGAACACTACACTGCGGTAAAGAATATCCTCAAGTACCTACGAAGAACTAAGGAATGAGTCCTTACCTTCGGTGGGAGTGATGACTTGAGAGTTGTACGGTATAGTGATGCTAGCTTCCAGACTGATAGGGATAATTTCCGCTCTCAGTCAGGCTAGGTCTTTACCTTAAACGGAGGAGCAATCACTTAGAAGAGTTCCAAGCAGGAGACAGTGGCTGATTCCACTTGTGAATCAGAGTATATAGCAGCAAGCGAGGCAGGAAAGGAGGCTATATGGCTAAAGAACTTCATCGGAGACCTTGGAGTTGTACCACCTATAAAAGTGCCAATGGAGATTTTCTGTGACAGCAATAGTGTGGTTGCCTTAGCCAAGGAACCAAGAGATCATTGGAGATCCAGACACATTGATAGAAAATATCACTTCATCAGACATCGAATAGAAGAAGGAATCCTCGTGGCAAAGAGGGTATCATCAGATGAGAACCCAGCAGATCCCCTCACGAAGGGACTGAGTAGGGTTAAGCATCTCCAGCATGCTCGGAACATAGGGCTGAAGGATGATATAAGTTTTAGTAGTTAGATAAATTATGAAATTTGTAAAGTGTAATTGACATTAGATGATGAATAAAAGGTGTTTTATTTATGATTAAAGTGTTGCTATCTCTTGTCGATCGTTTACTATATTTCTTTTGCATGTTTTGACTTCCAGAATAATTATGTTTGGTATATCATATTATTCAAACCTCCACAGTCGGTCATATGTCGGAAGTAGGTATGAATCAAGACTGTCATGATTGGTTGCAGAGGTTTAAGGTGTTGAACATGGCTACAACAATCATGAGTGCTCATAAGTTCTGAGCATTGGAATCAACCCACGCTTGCTTACTGGAATCACTTCATGGAATTTTATCTTGAGTGATCGTGAGACGGTAATATCATATAAGTCTTCAAACATAGAGATATGATTTGTTACTTATGAGTTGATTATGCATTGATTGTACGAAAACGCATTGGTAACTCGATGTTATAAAACATGCCTTTGTGTATAATTCAATGAGTGGTAGAACAAACATATGAGTCGAAGTTTATATGTTCCTTCTTGGATTAGAAGCTGATATCTGGGCCCCTCGATGATTGTGTTTTGACCTATGTACCGGGCCTGGTCAGAACTAAATTGATGTGTTCAGTTAAGTTCTATGTCAAACAAATCGGAAATCGGGAAACAAATGCTGGACAATAAGTAAGACCATGTTCCATGTATTTGTCCGGCGGATATCTTGAGTAGAGGATTATATGATCACTTATCTAAAATGGCGCGTTCTAGTTCAACAGAGTTTAAAGAGCTACGATTGCTGATCGATTCCTGAAGTCATACTTGCAACTATAGTTATTAGACTTATCCAAGTGGGAGACTGTTGGATATAGTGTCTAAGTCCATAACTGTATTTGGTATGTACTTGACCCGACCCGGCATGGTCCATTTGGGTTGCACTTCACCCGAACAATTTATGGATAATATTTGAGAATAGTACAAGTTATGATTTATTAATATATTATAAGTTCTAATATATTAATATAAGATCATATTATTTAATTAGTATTGATTTATAATTAATCTAGGATTAATTTAGAGATCAAAGATATTACTAATTAAATATGGGCTTCTATATTTATATAGTGTGGGCTAATGCTTATTTGGAATGGGCTAGACTTGCATGGAAAAGTCCATGGATACTCCATGGAGCTTTAACCCATGGATCTCATGGAAATGAAGAGAGATGGGTATTAGGGTTTACATGGATGTAACCCTAATCCACCACACTATATTAAGGAGGCTTTAGTTCTTGAAAACACACTAGTTGACACTTGTGGAGGTGAGGGCCGATTTCAAGATAGTAGTGACTATTCTCTCAAGGTTCCAAGTTTGTGGTGATTTGTGATTTCCATTTGAGGCATTCACACTATTGGTTCTAGGCTCTAAAACTCCAAGCAATCAACTACTACTACAAGGTAAGTATTTCTACTAGCTTTATTTGATTCATGTTCCCCATGCCATGCTAATTAGGATATGAACCTTGGAAAAATAATTATTTGCATGTATCTTAGACAAACATAGATCCAAGGTTTATTAGGGTTGCATGTACACTTAGGAAGTGTTAGAATGCTCAAAACCCATCACATACATCAACTAAGAACACATAAGGTGAGTTCATACCCCTAAATTTTCATGTTTTCTTAAGTTTTAAGAGGGGGGGGGGGGAATACAAGTTAAATCACCAAGAATTCAACTAAACTTCTCCAACAACTTTCATCAGTAAAGTTCAACTCTAATCATGGATTGTTTTGGGCACCTTAAACATTTTTGTTTCCAAAACTGTACACGGTGAAAGTAGTTCAAGTTCTTAGATTTAAAGTTACTACTTGTACATCTTCATATGATTTTTCTACAATTTATGGTGATTTTTACAAAACTACCTATCATTTTAAGAACACATCCGGACCAGTCTGTGATTATGGGCTTTTTCACTCAAGTTGGAGGTTACTAAAAATCATGAGAAAATTTATGAACAAACTAGACACATTTTCCAAACTCCCAGACTTTACGGATTCTTATTTGGACCTTTGATGATTTTTCTATAAATTTTCTAAGAACAGGAAATACAAATGCTATTACTAGAAAAATGCTATCATTTCATTTACACCTTGTAACTTGTTGGGCAAGGTGAGTATCATTAGGTGATTATATGTTATTATCATATATGTCATTTTGTCTTACTATTAGACATACATCAGTTATCAAATGGATTTGTTTTGCTATATTAAGCATGTTAAATGACAAATTGTTATGAAAAAATTTGCATCCATTACATAAAAACTTTTGGTAAACTATGATAAGTATAGTTTGTGTACACTCCTACTACCCTTGTTTTGATAAACTATAATTGGTAAAGTTTATGATACATTTACATAACAAACTCATTACTAAAGGGTACATTTATACAAAAGGGGTTTTCATTACATTACACGTAAATTCGTTAATGACTTTTGTGAGACATTCGATTCACTTTACAAATAAGTTCTGTATTGTAACCAGAGTCTCCTAGAGGGAGAGCGTGATAGTTGTATATAGATCTATATTGGGTCTGACAAACCCACACCTTAGCTGCATGCAATAGCTAGACCGGCAGGTCTGGGGTGACAAATGTCATAACATTTCCGACGCTTGAAGAATGTCGTTTCAGGCCATCTAGGTCATATCATGGTTAGAATAACTCACATTAAGTATTAACAAACATAGGATTTACAACGATTTCATTGAAATCAAACGAGTTTATGTCGATTTAGACTTGCATTATTTACTATAAGTAAGGAATGTTACTTATACATTTTGGTCTTGGGTTTTAAGACTACATTTTATGTATTAAGGAAAATATTGGATTTTCTGGAACGAACACTACTTTTACAAGAAAAGGTTTTCATAACTACATACAAATGCTTATGAGCCCACCAACCTTTGTGTTGACACTTTTTCAAAACAACTTGTATTCTCAGGAAATCACTAAACAGGTCAAGTGCTTTTGAGGATGGGATGTTAAGGCGTCAAACATTTCATTTTTGTCAACATAATGTAATTTGGAAACATGTAAACTCATACAATGATGTAACTCTTTCAATTATATTTATGTTGGTTGTGTTGACTTTAATCATTATTGGAATTATTATTATGATATTATACATGAAGTCCTCCACCCCCGGACGTTTCCGCCATCCTTGGTTTGGGGGTGTGACAGATTGGTATCAGAGCACAGTTTATAGTGAATTATCAGAGCACAGTTTATAGTGAATTAAGTATATCAACCCACATAAGATATACAAACTATAAACACAATTGGGACTAAAAGTTTCTAATTTGAAGATTTTTCAATTGGTTATACTTTCAGAAAATAAATAGTTTTTTTTTTTTGCTTAAAGTATACATACATGCTCACATAGTGTCATAATTAGGGAGAACATAAAGTAAAAGAAGAGGACACTACTAGAAAACCATCCTTTTACGACGCTCATTGCGCGTGGTAAAACGCTCAGACGACGCGCAAATGCGCGTCAAGAAAGGCCCCGTCATAAAGAGAGACGACGCGCATTTACGACGTGCAGTTATGACACGCAATGCGTATCAAGGAAGGCCCTGTCATAAACGCATTTGCGTGTCGTAACCTTACGACGCGCGTGTTTATGACACGCAATGCGTATCAAGGAAGCCCCTATCAAGAAAGGTCATGTCATACATGAAGATGACACACATTTTTGTGTATCATAATTTTAAATGTTCTAAAAAAATATATTTATATATTTATTAAATTTTAAATTAAATTTGCATTTAATGTCACATAATAGAAATAAAATATCATATACAAAAAATACAATCCATTGCATAAAATTTAATGTCATACAATTCTATTTCTTACAATATCTAAATTTGCATCTAATCTACTCTGTACATCAAATTCTAACTAAGTAAAGTTGCATCTTGCCTTTCATAATTCTTTAAGACTAATGCTCCAAGCAGCTGATTATACGGATAAGCAGTTGTACATTGGCCCATCTCACTCAAAAATGATTTAGCCAAATTCAACTCCAAGTCTTTACTGCATCTTGCTGATAATGCTGCAAGATTTGAATCAGGTGGCTTCATATTCCTTTCTTCCATCAACTTTACTTGATGTACAAAATACACAAAACAAACTATAAGGTCTTTATCCACTAAAATCAACAAAACATACAAATTGCAAACAAGAAATAAAACCTCAAATTTTGTTGCATCAAAGTTCAAACACATACCCACAAAGAACACTAGTTATCCATGGAACAACCTTGCAATATTCTGCCCACACCTCTTTGTATTTCTGTGTACATCTGGATTCGTCTCTTCTCTCTCGCCAGATCAGCAGAATCAGAAGATAAATTTGGAACTGGAGAAATACAATCACATGCTTCATATTATTATATCATATATACAGTAGTTGACTTTTCAAGTCAAAACAAATAAATTTAAATTTAAGTAGAATGGTATAATAAATAAATAAATTTAAATTGTTGCAAATTTACCTAATCCCACAGGGTAAGCTGAAGGATAGTGCCAATAACAGATCTCCAAGGTAATTGCAGTGCCTTGCTATTCCCCTTCATAAATAATAATTAAAAAAATATATTATTGTGCATTTAAAAAGGTAGTAGGAATGAAACAAACAATGCTTAGAAACTAAAATACTGATGAAATTGAAAACACATAAACATGAAGCATTATTTCATAAAAGTCGAAGAAATTTCTTCAAACATTTTTATGAATCAACTCAAACTACAAATAATCTATGTAGGGGTATTTTCAAAGATATGGTATTAACATCTATAAAGTATAAATATACCATGGTTGAATCCTATGTGATAAGCCCTTGGAAAGGTCACTACATAATGGAACACGTACAATACAATAATTATAAACAAACAAGCACAGAGTTGTATTGACAAGAATGGATTGTATTCAAATGGAAAGATAACCAGTTCATATTAGCAAATGAAGTTCTTCCTATGCAAGCTAAACAACCAAAATAGCAAAATAACTACTTCTAGAATTATGGGTTGAGTTGGGTTAGAGTAATAAAGATGGAGATGTTTGTATTGTGAAAAGACATAAATATCCTTTTCTTTGTTACCTGTTGAGTTGGGTTAGAGTAAAGACCATATTAACCCATATAAGCCTCCTTCTCCTATCTTCCACTTTTTTCGGCTAGTGCTATCTGTTGGAATTTTAGTAAAATGCTCTGTATTTGTCACAAAAATATATGTTTCTGATAAATCACCATAAAAAATATATCATATAAAGTATTTATGATATTATAGATATACCCCTGAATTAAATGAGATAGTAAGTTATTATATTCAAAAACAAACTACTGATGCATTTTCCCTTTTTGTACATATGACATGCCTAACAAAAAAAAGTAAGAGAACTTGATAGGTAGTAAAACAGAGAGAAAAGATTTGTAATGTAAAGAAATAATAGATCAATGGAAAGTAATGAATGCTTGATAAAATAAAGAAGATAACTGAATGATTGTATTTTTAAGCAACCAAAATCATAAACCAGGGAATGTCCCCTTCTCTCTATCACGAATGATACTGAGAGCCACAACACAATTCTTACACCTCTCACATACCTGATCTCACAACACTCCTTTCTTTTTATTCTCATTTCTCTCTCCTCTAACAACCTTTTAGCCACTTTTCTCATATGACTGTTTTGCCCTTCTAGAGTATACCCACATTACTCTTGGTTTGGGAACATGTTGTGCTAGTATTTCCTCATCTGTATCAGAACTTCTTAATAAACTTAAGAGCCTCCGCCTTAACATATTCAGCTCTATCCTCATCCCCATGTGACTTCTCAAATTCAAGATACTTCTTAAATAAAAATTGCAAAATCCAACAAATATATATATATATATATATATATATATATATATATATCATAACCATATAAGTAAAAAAAATAGAATCAACCACAATAACTAAGTCACTTTCATCTTCTTAACTAGAAGCTCTAATCATAGAGTTCTTAAATAAAAATTTCAATGTCGTTTGAAATATTTTTACCGCTGCATCCTCTGGTGGGAACCTATATATGTTTTCTAAGTTAAAGTATGCAACCCAAACATGCAGCTTCTCTAACTCTTCTCTTATATTAATTGTCCTCAAAGCCCTAAACAACAACCAACAAAAGTGTAAATTTATATAATTTTTGTAATCAACTATGACAAAGCTACTATTTGGGGAGCTTCTTATCAGCTTCTCATAATCATCAGTTGTTCTTGGAATATCTTTCTGCAATAGTCTCTCCTCTGCAGCATGAATTTTGCTTTCCCTGTTACAGAAAAGTTAAAATTACGATATTTCCCTTTTTGTAGTGAGAGATTATTAATTATTAATTATTAAATATTAACCTATGTGAATACCTTTCATCTGTTTCTTTCTTTTTTGTTCGTTTACTTTTGTTTTCATTCTTTTTAGGGTTTTTTTTTTTTGTCATCAAGAGGCTCTGGAATTTGATCTTGTTCTTCCTCCATGGGTGACTCATCTGCTTCTTCATCTAAAGTGACTTCAAGAGGAAGAACAGAAGCCCTGGATTCCACTTCAGCTAATGCTGGATGATTCCCGTTTGAGAATGGAATCAGTGATTCCAGGGTCGCGGTTGGAATAAGATTGTCTGATTACGAATCTAAATCTAAATCAGAATTATGAATTTCTTGTGGTTGATTATCGAAATATGACCCCTTCATTCCTAAAGAGATTATTTGTCTCTCTTCATCAACCTGTCAAATGAAAAGGCAAGGGTATATTAGACAAATCACTACATGCCTAGCAAATTGGATATTTATTTTTTTACATGCCTAGAAAAATGTTATTTAATATTTATACTTTCAATGAAATGAATGTAGGGTTATTATATTATATAATATAATAAACACATCAAATTAATAATTTAGATTGATCAATTTCAATAGACAAACCAAAAGACTCAATTCGCTTCACTCTTCCACTTATAATTTCTCCAACATTGAGGCATGTATATGGTTAAATTTGTTGGAATTTAAGAAACAAACCTCTTGAGAAGAGTGACAAGGTTGTTGAACATTTCAATTGTACTTTGTGGTTGATTTGAAAGGTGATTTGTGCCCATCACTCTCACGATAAAAGTGAGCATAATAGCTTGCTGGATCAAACAGTTACTGAACCTGTAAGTAATTTTCTCAAAAAAATCATTTTTTAATTAATTAATTAATGGATTATAAATAAATAAATAAGGGTTGTAGGGTCTTACTACAAAGCTTGGGACACGAGAAGCATCGCGTGCCTGAGACTCGGTGTTTTCAAAAGATGCAACTTGGCTTCCAATCATTGGTGGCATGAACCCAAAACTGAAGTTTGGATTTGGTGATGTATGAACAACTGGGTATTGATGACTTGGAGTAGGGAGTGAAGAAGAAGAAGAAGAAGTCTCTTGTTTCGACTCTCTGTACTCGGGTCCCGCATTCAATGACATGTCACCTTCCGTTGGTAAATTCTTGGGTACATTAGATGAAGATGTGGTAGGGCTTTCAAGATGATCCTCCTCTCCATCAACATTTTCATTTCTGAACCAATAAAGTACATACATTTATTAGAAAATGTTGTCTACTCCAACATGAAATACAACCTAAGTAACAGAAACCTGGATTGCATTTGATCCTATATAGTTTCATTAGCCTCCTTAGATGCTTCAAATGTTTTTTCACTCACGGTCACAGCCACAGAACCATTTGAGTTTGAGGGGGTTTTATTAAAACCAAAAGTGGCATCAAAACTCCCAAAACAGAAGCCGGGTTTTTCGGCTTCAGGAACATGAAGGTGATTTGGGATAATGTCATGTTTATCATCTGAAATGTGGGACTCCTTCGGCTTCTTCTCAAGTTCATCCTCTTATGAATCAAGATTAGTGGAGGATGTAGAAGAAACTATTGTTGGAGTATGAGCTTCAACTGGAACCACAGCCACAGGCACCTTAATTGACCTCTGACTTTGTGCAATTGGTTTCGGTTTCCATTCCATGCTAGGATCAACTGTAGGAAATCACAAACAAGTTTATCATTAAGTTCTACTGTTTCACTTCTAATAAAAGCATTCAGTTAAAAGTTAAGGTATCATTGTCTTGATACCTTTTTGAGGTCCAATTGCTTGTTGCATGCTATTATTATAATTTGATGAAGGCCTAGAAATAGAAAAGGACACATGAGAAGATGATCCTGGTCATGAAGATGAATCTAAAACCACATTCTTCCCCACTCCTTGAAGCTCACTGGGTCCCACCTTCCCTTGCTCAGAACGAACTGTCATGTTTAACCATTCATAAATACAATTAATTTACATCAAATAAAAAATAATTTCAAATACAAAACAAGATGATAACAAAATGGTGATTAAATAAATTAAAAAAAAAGGTTCTCACAAGAAGTCGATTTGATCCCAAGAGGGGTCTCTTGAATTTGTTCAACTGCAACTACTTTACTCCCAACCTCACATCTAACAGTACCCACAGACAGCCGTGAATCTTGTGATGGCATCAAAATAGGATCTTTTTCGGATAAATATACCCCTAGTGAAGATTAGCAATCTGAACAAACATTATTGCATTCTCTTTAGGTATATTCATATTGCAATACAAGTACACACAAGTGATTCCTACATGATTATACAAGCACAAACAGAAAAAACATACAAGCTTCCACGTTTTTAAGCATACTGAAACCATAATTACACAACTGCGTACCTTGAGAAGCCAACCCCTCCTGTTTTCCCCAATGTCAAAGTAAAACACCTGAAGAAAGAACCCTAATCAAAAAGGTAATTGGACAGATAGGAAGGTTATTTGAAAGAAAAATCTATGATAATTATTGAAGAAACTAGGAATGTTAATCCACATTTTGCAGAGTAATAAATATGAAAGCGTATGTATAGTATATGTAATGTGTAATATACTAAATTGCATTGCTATCAAGCTGAAGTTCCTTGCTAGAAATATCTTGGTCATCAGAAGTGACGTAGTAGTTGAAGATATCAAAGAACCAAGAAATTCCATTGAAAGGTACGATTATGGTGGACCTTGTCGCCGATGTCTTCTTTGAAATCTTTAGGTAACGATCGCGTGGATTCTCCTTGAGATCAAAGTAAAACAACTTATGCTCCACCTGTAACGTCTTAGACAACAACTCCACATCATTCCCACCACTTCGTGCACCTTCGCAGCCGCCCGAGTTAAACTCCATCTCCCCTTACGTCTTCTCCTGCACCTCTACATGTAACGTCTTAGACAACAACTCCTTGTTTCCCCTTACGTGTTTTGAACCAGGCGAGAGGGATGAGATGGAAATACGAGAGTGAGATAGAAAAAATTAGGGTCGGATTTAGGAACCCTAAATCATCGGCTCAAATTGATAACTGGGAGGTAAGAACCCTAACTCCTCAACTCATAGGGTCGAATTAAGAGCGTAAGAAATTGTTGGAACCGAGAATTAGGTTTTTGGTGGAGGTGATGGATCGAGGAATTGAGGAAGCTGTGGATGAGGATGAAGGCCCAAATTCGAAGAGGCAGGGAATTTTTGGGATGAATAGGTGGGGTTAATTTTTTGGATTTTATTTTTCTGCCTAAAAACGCGTGTTTCCTTAAAAAAAATATAAAGCGACACAGTTACACGACACACATTTTTTATAGATGCCCTCTGTATTTTTTATTCTGACACTAATTTTATTGTACACAAAAATGCGTGTCCTCTATCCTTCAAATTTTGGAAAACTAACATTAATTTTTAGGGCATGCACAAATGCCCGTCCTCTATCATTGTGTGTCATTAATTGCGCATCGTAAAAGGCTATTTTTCTAGTAGTGGGAGTTGAACACTATGAATATGCCTTGGTATGTGTAATCAGTTTTGGGAGGGATATAGCGTGATCAACTATATCTGTCCGAGAAGTGAATTACACATACTGGGGGATAGTCATAATGGGCAACAAATCTAACAACCTAACTTCACTCTACAAAGAATGCTCTAAAGACCAAATCTAAACACTTAAAATACTATTGGAGTATTTTATGTTGCTATAGCGCAATATTATTATTATTATTCGTACATGATTCTTACACCCCTATTCTCGTGCAGACGACATGGCAGGATTTCATCTACAAGGAGACCCTTACTTCCCTAATGAGGGAAACGCTGGATGGCTTGAGGCAGAACCTAAGGAAATGATCGAGGAGGATCCTGAAGAAGAGCCTAAAGAGGTTGATGAAGAAGAAGAACCCGAGGAGGAAGATGAATGGAAGACAAAGAAGAGGAATCCGAAGAAGAACCAGAGGAGGAAGTCATCAACCCTCCTTACATCACCAGGGTGCCTGTGAAGCGTTTTGGCTACAACGGGCTTGAACCCCGTTGGGCAATAGTGATCGAGAGGTGGGGCCGACAACAACGCCAACGATCACCGTATGGTGATCAACGTGGTTACTACGACCTCAGCCACGAGGGACCAGATGACAGAGCCCTCCCCATCATTGTCCAACATATTACGAATCTGGGAAATCAGAATACGGAAATGGCAGATCAGGTTCGAAATCTCAATGTTGTTACGGAAGCCACCAATGCACGCACTAGCGAGTTGGAAAGGGACTTCTATCCAGTGGACCAACTTATCGAGGACCTTGCTGCCGCTCGAGCGGAGGCAAGGGAGTGATCGCGGCCGAACGTTGGATTGCGAAACTTCAGGGAGCCTCGACCTCATCTCAAGGCCACGGTGGACCAGATGCTACCCGCCTCGAGTATTGTTTACACTGCTCACATTTTGTTATAAAATTAGGATTTCGAGTATGTGTTGGTGCTACTTTTATTGTAAGTAGGTTCGACCCTACGTCTAAGTGATTACACTATTCGAAGGGTCTTTATGCTGTTATAATTTTCTATTTCATTGATGTAATGTAGACCATCTATGAGGTCAAGTCATCTTAAGTAATATAAACTAAACTTATGTCAATGAAAATTTACTTGCGTTTTATTGGATGTTTGGCACTGGATCTCATAACTTGATAACACAAACGATTTGCAAATACAATAAAGTTGGATACAATACCAATAACTTAGCTCAAATAGCACATGACTCGTCCTTACTAATGGAAAACTTACCAACTTTCCATCCTTAAAAATTTATGACAGAACCATGCCGCCAAGGAAAAAACCAAGACCTTCCAGTAGCGCAGTACCACCTCCTCCGCCACCACCCCCACAGTTTGATTCCGTGATGTTCCAGGCTGCAGTAACAGTAGCTGTGGCGGCAGGAATGTCGCAGATGGGTACCAACGGTGCCGGCAACTCTGGGTCTGGGGCTACCCACTCTAATCATGGGGACAATACGGGGCGCGCAAAAGAGTGTTCTTACAAAGACTTCACGAATGGCAAACCCGATTCTTTCAATGGAAGCGGGGGCGTCATCGCATTAATGCAATGGTTCGATAGAACCGAAGTAGTCTTTGAAATCTGTGCTTATCCCGAAACAAGCAAAGTCAAGTACGCAGCATTCACTTTCACCGGTAGGGATCTCACTTGGTGGAATGGTCGAGTTAAGTCACTTACTCTTATAGTGGCTAACTCCATAAGCTGGGAAGATTTGAAAGCGTTGATTCTAAAGGAGTATTGCCCGAGGGATGAAGTATAATAACTTGAAGAAGAACTCTGGAGCCTCAGAATATCGGGCACAGATCTTGAAACTTGTACTGCCTGATTCAATGACCTATCACTCCACTATCTAGCAATGGTCACTCCAGAAGAGAAAAATATGGAACGATCCCTCTGGCGGCTATCATCCCAGATTCAAGATAGTGTGATGGCCTTGAAACCCACTACCTTTGAAAGTGCCAAGGAATTGGCACAACAACTTATCGATCACAGGGCCAGCCGTGGTACCGTGATCACCGCCCTCGATCAAGCAAAAAGAGGAAACAATAAAAGGAAATTCGGGAGCAACAAAAAGAAACAGTTGGGACCAGCCTCCACCAAGAAACAACAGACAGTTGCTGTTCATGCTGCCATTACTTCTGCCACTCCAACACCACCAACACAATATGCTGGAACCCTCCCCAAATGCAACAAGTGCAACTTCCACCACACTGGTGCTTGTCGGGAAATGCACTACAATAATTGCAACAAGAAGGGGCACACTGCTCGTTTCTGTAAAGTGTCAGCCCAATCCGTCAATCAAGCCTCCCCGATCGCCAACACCGGAGCAAGTTGAACCTATTACGGCTGTGGTGGGACATGGCACTTCATAAGAGACTGCCCAAAAGTACAAAAAGCCAATGCTGGGGGTACAGGAAGAGTCCTAGTTTTAGGGCATGGAGAAGTAGTTAAGGACCCCACGGTGGTTACCGGTACGTTTCTCCTCAATAACTCATATGCATGCGTACTTTTCAATAGTGGGGCATAAAGGAGTTTCGTGAACCACCAATTCAAACAATTACTTAAACAAAATCCCCAGTCATTAAAAGGTTCATATGTTGTAGAAATGGAAAACGGAAAGGTTGAGAGCACTAATGATATTTACCCAGGGTGTACCCTCACTCTAGACAACCATTCATTCAAAATCAATATAATTCCATTCACAATAAAAAGTTTCAACATCATCATCATCGGTATGGATTGGTTTAGTTCTAATCGTGCCGACATCCTATGTTACGAAAGGGTCGTTCGCCTAAATATGCCAAATGGTGAAACCTTTCTCATCCACGGTGATAAACCCAGTATGAACTTACAAATCATCTCTTGTGTCAAGGCTCAAAAGTATCTCCGAAAGGAATACCATGACTTTTTAGCCCACATCATAGATAAGAAACAAGAGGTGAAGGATGTCAAAGACATTCCAGAAGTGTGCAATTACCTCGACGTATTCCCAGAAGATCTGCTAGGTATACCACTCGCACAACAAGTCGAATTCTAAATCGACTTGGTTCCCGTAGCTACCCCCGTTGCCAAAGCTCCATATCACCTAGCACCGGCAGAAATGCAAGAGCTGTCCAGCCAGTTGAATGAACTGTTAAGCAAAGGGTTCATCAGACCGAGCTTTTCACCTTGGGGAGCACCAGTCCTATTTGTAAAGAAGAAGGCAGGATCGTTTTGCATGTGCATCGACTATTGGGAGTTAAACAAACTTACCGTTAAGAATCGATATCCCCTACCCCGAATCGAATACCTCTTCGACCAACTACAAGGAGCGAGTTACTTTTCAAAAATCGACTTGAGGTCGGGTTAGCATCAACTGCGATTTCAAGAGGATGATATTCCTAAGACATCTTTCAGAACGCGCTACAACCATTACGAATTTGTGGTGATGCCCTTTGGCTAACCACTGCACCTACGATGTTCATGGATCTGATGAACCGGGTGTGTCGACCCTTTTTAGACAAATTCGTAATCGTATTCATCGATAATATCTTGGTCTATTCGCGAAGCAAAGAAGAGCAAAGCCAACATTTGCGATCAGTATTGGAGACTCTAAGGACTGAGAAGCTTTATGCCAAACTTTCAAAGTGCGAATTTTGGCTCAGAGAAGTGGGATTTCTTGGCCATGCGGTTAGCGAGAAAGGGATACATGTGGATCCCTCAAAGATCAAAGCAATTGAAAACTGGACTGCACCGACAACGCCAACAGAAATCCGACAATTCTTAGGGATTGCTGGATACTACCGAAGATTCATCCAGAACTTCTCCAAGATTGCTAAACCACTCACCACCTTGACTAAAAAATGTATGATGTTTAAGTGGGGAAATAAACAAGAAACTGCATTCCAGACGTTAAAACAGACCCTGTGTAGCGCACCGGTCTTGTCCCTCCCAGAAGGGACTGAAGAATTTATAGTGTACTGCGATGCCTCGAATCAAGGCCTCGGATGTGTGCTTATGCATAAATGGAAGGTCATCACCTATGCGTCAAGACAAATTAAGATGCACGAAGTTGATTATACCACTCACGACCTTGAATTGGGAGCAGTAGTGTTCGCTTTGAAGATCTGGAGACACTACCTCTACGGCACAAAATGCACTATCTTCACCGATCACAAAAGTCTTCATCATATCCTCAATCAAAAAGAGCTCAACATGCGATAGAGAAGATGGGTAGAGTTGCTGAACGACTACGAGTGTGAGATTCGCTATCACCCGGGCAAGGCCAATGTAGTGGCCGATGCCCTAAGCAGAAAGGAATATTCGGACCCCGAGTAAAAATCCTT